CTTCGACTGCGTCTACGGCCTGGAGCTGTACCGGGACGAGCGGGTGGTCGGGCTGGAGGTGCTCCCCGACAGAGTGGGTGAGTTGACCCTGACGGACGGGAAAAGGAAGTTCACATTAGTCGTTTGCTGCTAGTCGTTGTTGTTGTTGTTGTGTCAATCAAACCCAATCCTGCTCTGTGATTGGCTCAGCTCCGGCCCTGGTCAGCGACTCGCTGTTGGCGGACACCATGATCGGAAAAGCGGTGGAGCACATGTTCGAGACGGAGGACGGGCCAAAGGAGGAGTGGCGAGGGATGGTTCTGGCCCGCGCCCCCATCATAACCTCCTGGTTCTACATCACCTACGAGAAAGACCCGGTTCTCTACATGTACCAGCTGCTGGACGACTACAAGGAGGGAGACCTGCGCATCATGCCCGACTCCAGTGAGTGTTCGGTCCATTTTTTAGGTCTTTAGCTAGCCTTCGGCCCGAACCTCTGCGGCGTCATGTGTCACCACCTGGTCCGCCGTCCTCGTGTTTGTTATTGTCTGGAAAAACTGTTGTCGGCCCAGAAATGAACTCTGGACTCAGCACTTCCCTCTAGTGGATGTATTTATTAGTGACAATAGCAAACATAAAGCACTACCTGGAATGTGTTGACTTTTTACTGCTGGTACTGTTTGTTACACCTGGTCCTGAGTTTGTTTTGTGGTTTGTCGAGGTTAAAATGAGGTCTCTAAATGTCCCCCTTGAGGCTAAAACTGAAATATTGTTATATTTCATTTCAGTCGGACTATAATTACATTATTTAAAAAAAGAATTCAATATATTGTCATGCCCGTAATATCGCAATATATCGCAAATAACTGCAAATATCGCAATATATTGCAAATAATTGCACATAAAGCAACAATATTGCAAATAACTGCAAATATTGCAATATATCGCAAATCATTGCAATATATCGCAAATAACTGCAAATATTGCAAATAATTGCAAATATAGCAATATATGATATTGTTGCCCCTGTATCGCGATACGTATTGTATCGTCAATGTGGTCGAGTTCTGATGATCTCCCGGTTCCTGTTCCGCAGACGACAGCGTGACGACGGAGCGTGAGCCCGGCGAGGTGGTGGACAGCCTGGTGGGCAAACAGGTGGAGTACGCCAAAGAGGACGGCGGGAAGCGCTCAGGTATGGTCATCCACCAGGTGGAGGCCAAACCTTCGGTGTACTTCATCAAGTTCGACGACGACTTCCACATCTACGTCTACGACCTGGTCAAGACCTCCTAAGATCAAGACCGACCGCTACGTCTCCTGGACGAATCGGAAAGAATTTCACATCCGCCGCACACGCTCATCGGGAACAAAACCTCAACTCCCCCTCCCCTCACCCTGAGACGGACGTTCTTCACTTTGGTCTTAAACTGTAAAATCCACCAACGATCAGTCACTGCCAGATTCCCTCGGACTTTTCGGAAACAGAATCTGCCGAGACGTGCCGATGACCGGGACGACGGAAAAAACAAAAGCAAAACCTGGGACAAAACGTTAGACACAAATTGTGAAGAAGTTTTTCCCGAAACCCCTGTCTTTTTCAGACCTGTCCATCATACCGAGGGGGGGGGGGTCAAAAGGGTGGGTTGGAGTTCAGGTCTGACTCCGCCGGCGTCAACAAAAGGGACGAAGGCGCTTCAGGAACTCCCCGTCACAGGGTCTCTGTGGGACTAGACAGAAAAGACACCTGAAGACTCGAACTCTCTCCGTCTTTCATCTCATTTCATATCGTCCACGTCACACCGTTCTGCATCTGCGTGTCTTTTTATTGTGTTGACCATTTTTCATCCAATGGTAAGATCAGATCTGATGTGTTGCTTTTTTTTTTATATTTTATATTTGTGCCAAAAAATAAATAAAATCCAATAAAGTATTAACAGGTAACACAATCATTAGATTTTTTTTTCCCCTAAATTAATTTTAGCTGGTCGACAGTACTTTACTGAAATTCTGTCTTTTATTTCATTAGTTTTTACGGACCTTACCAACAGTCGGTGATTTATGTTTTTTTTGGAGGTGATTTATTTTTAATGAGGCCTTTACTGCCCTCCTGTGGCCAAAACACGAATTTTGTTTTTTCAGTTTTTTCCGACAGCCATGGGTTTTGGTACTGGAGCTACTGTATGTGTATGCAGCAAAATCCTGAAATATGCCTTTAATAAGAGGCGCTAATGTGTATGTTTCCTGCGTTCGTCGTTGCAGTATTTGTTTTACGTTTGTTCACTGACCTCTTTTTTTTTTTTTTTTTTACCAACGGATTTTGTAAAACTGCCCGACAAAGTAAAACACACGGGCTAATGTGAAAGTTTATCTTTACGTAGGGGGCGCTGTACATAAAGGGTGCTCTGTGTTTTTTTCTCCTGGCTCTGGTACAAGTTTGGGTTTGTTTGGTTATTTAAATGACAAGGTAGAGTGTTTTTTTTTGTTTGTTTTTTTTATACCCGACTTCAGAGGTAAGGAAAACAGTGACATTATGTTGTTTTGTTAGCTTAAAGCTGAAAAAAAAGGTGTTGGGTCGGCAGTGTTCCATATCATTCTGGATCTTCTAAACGTCACTTCATCATTTCATTTCCCCACCCACAAATTTTGTATTGTTTTTTTTTTTCTGATTTTTTTTTCTCTCCCCGTCATGAGAATGAGAAAGTTCGGAGACGCGCGACATCTCTACAATCATCAGTCAAAGCCCGAGTCCTATTTTAAAAAACAACGTACGAGGAACGACGCGGCGTCTTCTCCGCACGTGCAGTTTGACCCCGGTCAGTGAAGGCACCGTCTCACCTGGTCTGTGCTGGTCAGCTGCGGCAGCTCTTTTCAGTTGGATCACCTCCGCCGTGCCGCGTCCACACGGTCCCTCTTGTTACCACAGAGAAACTTAATCAGAGTATTGACCACAATGCACTTGTCAGCAGGATGTGTGTGTGAGTGAGTAGTGTGCGTATGTGTGTGTGTTAACCTGGCTGTTCAATTGTGTTGTTTTTGCATGCCTATATAGCTCAGTGTATAATGATGTGTTGCATGTGTGTAGGTTTTAGTTGTCGAAACGATTGTGTCTCTTGTGGCTTTTGGTGCCTTTTTATTTTTAATTTTTTTTTTTTTTTTGTTATTGTTGTTGTTGTATTTTGTACTTCCTGTCACAGGCTGGTATTTCTGCTATGGAAAAAGTCCAAAATCAACTTCAACTATCAGATGAAAATGAATGGCGTCATAACGAGTGACAGACGTGTTTAAGGTGACATGTCCCTTTAAAGAGTAGCAACTCCAGACGTCAATGTTGTACAGATGTGTAAAGCTCACACTATTTACTTAAATAAACATTCCTGTTGTTTTTTTCACTGCTGCGTCTCACTTCGTTTACTTCATATCTCTAAAAAGCACTCCAAATATTATTAATAATTTTAATAATGATTGTAAAATGTTTTAGCAGTTAATTCAGATGACGTCACGAAACGTGATGTTAAGTTGCTAACATGACGCTTTATATTTATCAGCGTATTCGTTGTCTTTTGATAGTTATAACTCTCATTACCATCTATTTAAAAAAACAAAAACATCACGAACAAAACTGCGAATTCGAAAAACAACATTAAACATCGTCGTTGTGTCTACGCTCAATGACGTAATTGCGTATTCCGTAGTATAAATAGTTTCCCTCCACTGCAGTAGGTCTCACTGTCCCTTTAAGGGCGCAGACGTGATTCCCACAATGCACCGCTCTAACGGAAGAACTCTAAAACGTTGCTTTGTTATAACAGACACTGATTTTGTGACGATTTAAAATGTACTCGAGTAAAAAAAACGATACATAAAATAATAAAGAGTAAAAAAAAATAAAAAGCAAGATAATACCGACACCGTATGTCAAACGGTGAGGATGAGCGAACATGAGGTTTCAGCGCCATATTTAAAGTTCGATCCTTCGGTTCATACAAGTGATGATTGGTTCAATCACGGACTGTCCGTGAAAAGTGCTGCCTACTTGTTACGCTATGCACTTCAGACCATCTGATCTGAATCGTGGATTCATCGTAGAAACTAAAGTAAAGTTGAACAACAAATATGCTAACCGCGTTTTCGGACTCATGACGTAGTTAAGACAGAGTGCATGTGATTTATCTATCTAAAAACGCGTAATTTCACCTAGCTCAGATAGCTATAAAGTAATATAACAATGCGACCAGTTTGGTCGTTTACGTGAACAGCCAATCATAACACTGGAAGCCAACACGTGCCTCCACTCTGTGTCCCTGTCTCTTTCATGTGTTAATATATGGTTTAAAGACATTTAAACATTAGTAAAAGTATGAAAAATACCGTAAAGCCCATCCTATAACGCACCTCAAAATTGTTCTGACTCACAATTTAAAGTTTATTTAAATAACGACTAGAATTTTTTACTCAACCGTTCGAGCACCTGAAATAATAAAGACCTAATTTTAAGAACGTAATCTCAACTAACACAATCAGTTAGTTCACACAAGTATCGCGAGAGTTCCGTAGTACTGACTCCGCCCGAATCCGGTCCGCCATGGAAACAAAGATGGCGGCTCTCTGAAATGTCCATGTGGTTGCGTAGACAGAAAAAACGTATTCCTTTGCCGTCTTTAACAAGTTTTACTTAGTTGAAACGAACGACAGACTACAACCGAAAGAGACAGCGTCTCAACAACTGAGCGAAAATGCAACACGACGATGTAAGTGTGACATACCGCTGACATTAGCTAGTCCTCATACGCTTCACACTATTACTAACTTAATGTTCCGAGGTTTATAACATTTATTGTATGTAAACTAGCATTAACAACACGGGTGAGTAAATGTTTTAACGCCAGGTAAGTCACGCGATGTATGGCTAGCCAGGACATCTTGTCGGAAGTCAAACCACACTTCGTAGCAGTAGCATAGCGATAGTACACGAACGTGACATAAACTCGTGTACAGAGTAAAAAACTCTATTTGGTAGAAAGCAAATGTAAAGTTTGGCAATAGCAATTAATTTTACGAATAAAAATGTGTAGAATACCGAATTGAAGTGTCAAACTGGGATTTAATCACGTGTTCTTTTATAGGAACTGGTAATTAGTTACTTATGTTGTTTATATCGTCATTAAAATATTTAAACGTAATTTACCCCAAAATGTGTTTTTTCTTCTTTTTTTTTCGCGTGACTTACTTGAAAACTGCATCTGTTGAAACAACTGTTTCTGGTCGTTTTTCTGCCCCCTGCAGGTGATCTGGGACATTATAGGAAACAAACAATTCTGTTCTCACAAAGTCAAGTAAGTGACGGACGTATTTATTTATTCATTCATTTCCGGTGTGCGATGTTTACGTCGTGTAAATAATTTGAACCTTTGTTTCCCGCGTCAGGACCAAAAGTCAGAACTTTTGCCGTAATGAGTACAGCATCACGGGGTTGTGCAACCGCTCGTCCTGTCCCCTTGCTAACAGTCAGTACGCCACCATCAGGGAGGAGAAAGGTACGACATGTGATGATAATAATCTTGACTTTAACTTCATAACGTTTTTTTTTTTTATTTAATTTTTTTTTTAAATATTAAATTTTATAGTTAAGGAAATTAAATATCCCCGTGCTCTGTGTGCAGGTCAATGTTTCCTTTACATGAAGGTGATCGAGAGAGCGGCTTTTCCCGCCAGGATGTGGGAGAAGGTGAGGTTTTAATCGGGGTCACGAAAACAAACAATTTGACGACAGGAAGTTCATTAAAAATCGTTTTGTTTTGGTTTTTTTGCAAAGGTGAAGCTCAGCA